AGAATTGGGACATTAACAGTATCCGATTCTGTCACCATGGTAAATTATATTGTTAACATGAAAGTATATTTAATATTTGGCAAGATCCTGTCAAAGACAATTAATATTTTTCTAGATGTGATCCCATGTAGTCATATGTATGAACCTGTGCTCAGCATTTATGAATAAATTGTACAGCTGACCAAAAATAATTGCATCTCCTCTAAATTATGTTGTAATGTATGACACATTGTGCATTGTGTAAACATTTATTTTAAGTTTTAGATGCAGCCTTTTTTGTGTGATGCCGGATTTAATTGTTTGGTTTGGCAGAGAATCTATTGCTGTACCATTCCACAAAATATAGATTTTTTAAAATATTTTTTTAGATGATCAATCAATGTACCGTAAACTTAGTAATTATAAATATTTTGTGAATAACAAAGTCACTATAATGAAATGGAGCTGAACTATCATTACAACCAGCTTCACGTTAGAAACATGTTTCTTTCTTAAAGCATATGGTTAAAATCAGGTAAATTTACTGTAAACTAAATTGCTTTAAATTTAAACAATGATCCAGACTATAAACAACATTTTAGAGTCAACAATGTCAGAGGGAGCAATGTGTACATATTTACCGAATATTTTAACAATTGAAACCTTATGTTTTGTTGGTATCAATGTCATGGTGGTCTCTTATGATGGGTTTGGCATCTAGGATAGGCATTATTTTAATGTCCCTGCATGTTGAAAAAAACGGACTATTAGAGAATGGGTTAGTCCATCTGTCCATCACACATTTTAGAACACATTAACTAAATGTATGGTCCTACTTGGTGTAGATGTTCATTATTTGAATGCCTTGATTGAGCTTGATGGTGCACATTTTAAGCTTTGACTAAGCAGTGTCAATAAGCAATTTGTTATGAAATCTTATTTAGCTTGATGACATAGCTGTTAATAAGTGTATGTTTCATTGTCTGGCAAGTGGCAATCCATGGTTTCAGAAATCATGTACATGTACACATGTATCAGTTCGTCAGACTGATACTTCTGAGGTCCTGTTAGTTGGCCCAAAAATTTATTAGCCTCTCTCTACCTAGCAGATTAATGTTTATTTCAAACCCTGTATATTATATCTGGGGAAGGAAAATAGAATATAACATCCGGTAGTTAAATGACATGGGAATTAAGTAGAAGTTAAAAATCAATGAAAAGATGTTTAATTTGATGTTTCTGATTTGATCTGAAAAACCTGAATCACACACACAGTCATTATGTTGGTGTTTATTTTCACCACAACCATTAATAGCCCAAAAAACATGATCAATTTCCTTGTATTTGAACTATGGTCACATCACAGTCCTGCATATACATTTAGAGAGAATTGCTTGTTATAATCATAAAAAGAAACATTCTATATTTATATTTGATTAAAGTCCTGATTGGCCCATTTTTTCTTTAAAAATCAATGCCAGATTTCTTTTTGTAATGTAAACCAGAATTTGGAAAGAATTTTGTCAATATGTGACCTGTGCTGACAAAATGAGTTAGAATGCGCAAATTCTAAAAATGAGATACAGACAAAACAAGTGTAAATAGATTTTGATCGAAATTGAGATTTTCACAAAAAAAGAGTCTATAAATATACTATTGACCCAAAAGATCAAAACAGCAATAAAAGATTTTATAACACCTTTATTTGGACGTTTTGTAAAAGTACCGAATTCATAAATCTTAAAATTCTCAGCAAAATAAGTTATTTTTCTCTGCTGGCAGTGGAACAACCGGTCAGTCATCTTACATAATACTTGGCATTGTTGTAAAGCTTTGAATCTCTAGTTTATAAATATGGACAAAGTATTGCCGATGAATTCATTGTGAATGAATACAAATAAGTTTTTAAACCTCTACTAAATATATACAAACTCCGCTTGTTGCTACATGTACGTCATATGCTGTCCACGCAATCCGTTTGCTGATTGGCCCAGACACCCTGTGCAAAGCATTATGGTATCATGGCTGTCTCGAGGCTCAAGCTGGTGATATAAATTTGATTTTGACGATAATTTTTGGGGGTACTGCGACTCCCTTTGAGAAGTGGCAGAAAAAAACTCTTAAAATTCTGATCGTGTCTAGATTGCTGCTGAGTGTTAACCAAGCGGTGATTATTTGATATCTTGTTTCATCTTAAAAAAAATTTTGTTTAGACCTAAATGGAAATAAACCAAATGGCCAATAATTTTCTTTTCGAAGAGAATTTTACTGATAGTCGAATCACATTTACTGTCGCTTCATACGGCATGCAAAGTATACAAGCATGCATAATTGGATATTATTGTTTCAGATTCTATTATCACCATGGGTCGGAAAAATGAGAACAAGCAACAAGTCTGTTATTATTTGTGTCATTTCATATTTTGATATCATACGGTACTTGAAATAGACCTATTGTACACGCAAAACCTTATTTTAATTCAGTCATGTGACGGCTTTTTTAAACTAAACTTGATTACCCTATCAACAAACTTATCCTCTGACCACTGGCACTAAGGTGCTAATTTAACTGAAGTTATTCTCACCAAAGTTGTAATATACAAAACATAAATTACTAATGTATGGACTATTCTCATTTCTTCTAAATTATAGGGGGGTTGGATGGCCGAATGGTTAGCACGTGCGCGCAGTATCATAAGGCCTGTCATTGAGTCAACTGGCGTTGTTTCGAATCCCCGGTTGTACATGACAAGGAGTAGGATCGCCTGTCCAACCTTGTGTGTTTTCTCCGGGTCCTCCGGTTTCCTCCCACTGCTAAAGCCCCCTAAGCACAAGCTAATTATTGAAATAAAATTAAACCATATGGTCATTGTTAGTCCCGAAATGACCTAGTTTGTGTCAAGTGGACATTAAACCCCATCTCTCTCTCTCTCTCTCTCTCTCTCTCTCTCTCTCTCAATTATAACACTATCATAGGAAATGTAAATATGCCTGATGTGATGTTGAAGTTTTGTTACAGAAGAGTTCATTGCGGGAGTTCACAGCACCCCTGAAAACCTCGAGAATAAAATATTAAACGAAAAAATATCAAATAAACGGCATGGTTGCTATGTGATTTTGTTTTGGAATATACCGACATCTTTAACTTGCTTTTTCTCGAAACTTATTTTCCTTGCTTGGGCAGCTTCAAACTGATGTAGCTCAGTCAATTTTTGCCCGATTTAAACGATACATCATTTTCAAAATTTCCTCATGTCGACTCAGTTTGCCACCATTGGTCACATATTATTAGAATTAATGTAAACATGAAGAAACATGTTTATTTTTGTTGGTATAAGTAACATTGGTCACACAAGTAATTAGCGACATGTCCTGAACTTTTTCAGCGTTTTATGAATGGACTTTTGTTATTGTCCCCCGCCTTTTGAAGAAAGCATGGGACTATTAAAATGGGTTTCGTCTGTCTGTCACACTTTTTGGGACACAATAACTCTCCTTCTAATTGAGCTAGAATGTTCAAACTTGGTGTAGGTGTTTATTAGGTCAATGCCTTGATGGAGTTGGAAGATCAGCATTTTCTGCTTAGGGTAAGCAGAGATAAGCAATTTGATTGGTTGATGCTTTGGGACACAATAACTTTAGTTTTAATTAAGTGAGAGTGATAAAATATGGTGTATAGTTTTGTTACATCAATACCTTGACTAAGTTCGATCATGAGCATTTTCTGATCAGGGTTAGTGGAGCGATAAGCAATTTGATTGGTCAAGACTTTGGAACACGATAACTCTCATTCTGAATGCCTTGATGGAGTTCGAAGATGAGAATTTTCTGCTTAGATTAAGCAGAGATAAGCAATTTGATTGGTTGATGCTTTGGATCATGATAACATTAGATCTAATTAAGTGAGAGTGAGGACACTTGAGGTATACATGTAGTTTTATCACATCAATACCTTGACTAAGTTCAGTAGTGAGCATTTTCTGCTCAGGGTAAGCAGAGCGATAACCAATTTGATTGGTTAATACTATGGAACACAATAATTTTCCTTCTAATGGAGGTAGAATGTTCAAACTTGGTGTAGGGGTTACGGTAAGCAGAGATAAGCAATCTGATTGATTGATGCTTTGGGAGCACGATAACTTTGGTTATAATTAAGTTTTGACTGATTAACATTTCAAGCTGAAGCTAATCAGAGCTAAGAAATTTCATTGGTCAATGCTTTGGGACAAGATAACTTTGATTCTATCTGATAGAGAGTGATGAAACTTAGGGTATAGTTGATAATCAGTTTGATTGCTTGATGCTTTTGAAAAAAATAAATGTTTGATTAATTAATATGTGTCATCTATTTCTTTTGGGATTTTGGTGGGGGACATCAGCCTCACTGTTGACTTGTTGTATCTGTCCTTGAATAAGATACGTGTACATTATATCAGTGGTTCCCAACCTTTTGTTGGTTGCAACTCCATTCCAGAAACCAGCATCTGATAGTAAAGTTACCTTTTACTATGAAAATCATTATGTACAGTACAATTAATATTGTTTTACTAATTTGACAACTTATTATTTATATTTGTACACCTTTATAAAAATTGACAAATTTATTATTGTTTACTTACATGTACGTATTTGACAAGATATTGTTCACAAATTATGAAGTTTTATTCATTGTGATGGTTGCACCAGTTTTTCAGTGACCCCACAAAAAGTGCTTCGCGACCAAGAGGTTGGGAACACAGGCTTTACAGTATATACTTATAATTTACCATATTTTTCTTCTTGGCAGCTTATTTTTCAACAAGCATGCACTGACATCTTTTGGAAGGTTCAAAGTTCAAACAATTTTTGTGATATATCTTATTTATTATATATATAAGTTATTTTCCCTATCGTAATGAGTCAAACGTTTTACCTGGCTATAGTAATTTGATGAATGAAGTCTTGAAATGTTGTGTTTTTCAGGTATTGTCTGTATTCCATAATGAAAGTATTCAAACCTTTTTGCATTGCTGTTTTTTCAGAGAAAACATGAAATCATCAGACAGTTGGAGAACCAAACAAATGGTGACATCCATCTGTCTATTACGGAAACTTCTAGTCAAGATTCTGATTCTCTCGGTCAAGATAAAGACAAACAAGCTAAAGAAATCCTCATTCTTCGTAAAACAGTGGATGAAATGGAACTACGTATAGAAACCCAGAAACAAACTCTATCAGCTCGGGATGAAAGTATAAAGAAGTTATTAGAAATGTTACAATCTAAAGGACTGTCTGTCAAAACATTTGATGATAATAGAAAAGAGGTTGATCAACTTCGTGCTAAAATGCTTGAGGGAGAAAAAATGATTAAACATTTAGAAAGTAATTTAGAACGAAGAGAAAGTGAATTATCTAAACTAAAAGAGGCGAGTTTTACTTTCAAAATTCAACAGACAATAAGTAAACTAAATGGCTCATATTGTAACGACTGCGCCCTTATTCACGAAAACTTAACTAAGATAAAATCCAAATTTTAGTAAGTTGATTGGATAATATTAGATTGATTTTAGTGCTTAGCCAATCAAAATTGAGGTATCTACTAAAATTTGGAATTTATCTTTAGTTAAAATTTCGTGAATCAGGGCCCAGGTGGATAAAGATGAACAAAACACACATGTAGTACAGTCACTAACCCCGTTTACATTACAAATTTTAAGCGGGCCAGGAACGGTACCTGGGATGGCAAGGTTAATTTTTTTGTAGTGTAAACGGGTCAAACATAAGCGTGCCGTACTGAGTACCGTGCCAATCTGGCCCAATGAAATGAGGTGATCTTGGCACGGTACCAGGCACGGCGCGGTTAAATTTTCTTAGTGTAAACACTATCTGGTGTGTAAAAATATCTTTCATTAATAAAGAATAAAGTTTAATGTGATGACAAAAAACATACACAACAATACACATAATTTATTCTTTTCACAGAAAGTATGAAATACATAAAACATGTACCAAATGTAATTACTATATCCACATTTTAATATGGTTGCATACATTGCCATTACCGATCTTTCTGATTGATTTCTCTATTTGTACATGTATTTGTTCAGTATTTAAGCTCCATTTTCTAAGTAAGCTTATTTATGTAAAAACACAATAGAAATTCAGGTTTATAGTCTATGATGTACATGTACATACATACCTAGATTCATAAACTATTGTTATGTCGAGTGTTTGTTAAATCACATTGCTCTAAGTTTCAGTTGATATTTTTTTTTTTGAATTTTACAGAGTAATGGTAACCCATCAGACAGTGGTGTTAGTTTATCAAATAGTACTGATAATACACATACTATGCAAGCTATGATAGAAGCCAAGGTAAAAAAAAATTACTAAATTACATTTAATTTTACTTGAAAATAGAGTATGACAAGTTGTCTCCCCTTACAAATAGTCATATTTTCTGTTAATTTATTAATAACTCAACTTTTTGTTCATAGGCCATAGAAGTCAGATTTTAAAATTCCTGAATTTAGCTCTTTTTCCAAATGTGGTTACTGCCATACAAAATTTTGTTCAACAAAAGACAGTTTTTTTTATGAAGTACAAAAGCAAAATGAGTAAATTATATCAATGATTTCATAATTACTGATACAAATAAGCTAAGTATATTTATTATTAAACTTACACGAGCTAGGTTTCCTGTATATTAATCACTTACAGAAGAATTTAAAATGATTGTCACAATTGAATTATTACTAATAGGAATTTTTTGGTTTCTCATGTAGTAACATTTATGTTTCAGCTATCCGCCCTGGTATTTTAAAGATGTATTATGTAAGATTTAGATAAAAACTGAAAGTGCTTCGCTATAATAGTTAAAAAATAGATAATGAAAAAGGAATATATTGAAATTACTTTATTCTGAGTGGGGGAGCACGTGGCTAAGTGGGTAAGACACTGGCTCGCTAGCCTGGAGGTCGGGTGTTCGATCCCTGCATTGGCTGAGAAAGTTCATCCAGATTTTCCGGCGTGGTTTCCCCTTGTCAGTGATGCAGGATGGTGGGCCTGACAAGGACAGCTGTCTAGTCGATCGGATGGTACGAAAAACCGAGGTCCCGTGTACATATTGGCGTGCACGTAAAAGATCCCTTGGCAGTTGGAATTCGGTATAAGAGTAGGCCATAGCGCCGCTGCCAGGGCAAAATATCCCTCATAGCACACCGTATGGCTTATGACCGTCTTCATTAGCCCAGTTTAGGAGCATTTTATTTCATTTATTCTGAGTGAATTTATTAGTGTTTGAAGAATTTTTGGGTAAGAATAGCGCAGTCTCGATTTTCATTGCTACCATTGTTATGATAATAAATAATCTTTAAATTAAATTATAAAATGGCGATCGAGTTTGATCCATTAAAATTCGAAGTCATCCGATGGTCTAGAGAGTTGAATATGGCCTTGTTTTGTAAATGAATATCCAATTAATAATTTATGTAATATTTATGGCCAAAATAAAGAACTTGCATTAGTCAGATTTAGCTCTTACATAATGCATCTTTAAGAAAACAATTATATTAAATTTTAATATTCTAGAATCCTAGAAAAACAATTATATTCCAAATACATCTATAATTGATTTATTAAATATTTAAATTAATTGTATTTGTTTCAACAGGATTCACGTATAGCTGTATTAGAACAAGAAGTACAAGCTGTAGAAGATAGATTATTAAAGATGCAAGAAGAAACATTAATTGTTGACAGAAGAGATGGAACGTTAACCAAAGATCCACAAAGTACCAAAGAAAAGGAATTAAGAGCAGAGGTACTAATTGTTATTTATTAACAGATGAAAGTTTACAGTCTGTCAAAAAAACTATATACCAAAATACGGACCAAATCTAACATATACTGTACTGGTATAAAATTAATTGGCAAATTAATGAGACATTTTCACTCATAAATCTTTTTAATGTGCATCAAATTTCAACGTTTAAAAAAAAATCAGCGGTGAGGATAGGCTCTGGCATTCCCAATACTAGCTCAGGGTTAACATATAGCATTCATTTTGATAGAATTGGTTTTCGAAAGTACCGTATGCTACTTGTTTCCCCTACTTACAACATTTTAGTCCGGCATTGATTGAATTTTATTTTGGGGCATTAAAAGCCATTTATCTAACCTGATCGATAGGGGAAGTAACTCTCTTTATGTTTAAACCAAAATTCAATAATTTGATTACATTTTATTTTGTCAAATTTCTCTATTGTACAGTTTGAATTATCTAGCTACATGTATGTATGTAAATCACTTAATAATCCCTAAATCTCTGATTTTTTTTGTTATATTTTTTTTTTAGCTCAGAAGGTTCTTATAGAGATGTATTTATTGTCTAGTTATTACATTAATTTTGATTTTCTGTTACATATTACAGTTAGAAAGGGTGCGTAATAAATTGAGTGAAAGAGAAACAAAATTAGAAGGTTTAAGGTTAAAGGTGGAGACGAGTCAAAGACAGCAAGCAGAAAAAGAACAATATGTTGCTGTTTTAAAAGAACAAATTTCTGCTAAAGAACTACATTCTAGTATGTTACAAGCTGATGTAAGTATATACATACAGTGGAATGTCAATTCCGACATCTGAATACTACAGCATTCCGTGAAATTTGTCATCATTTTCATGTCCCAATTTATTTCCTTATTACTTCAGCCAAAATAGTTTTGAGTAATCCGGATTCTTAATATTCTGAATTACGACATCAATTAACAATCCGCACAATTAACATTGGATAATCTGGCCTTTAGTCAGTGGGTGTTACCCGACAAGCAATCACCAATCAATTATCTGTGAGCATAAAACATGTGTCGGTCTTTGTTGATTACCTTGATAATTTTATAATCTGTTGGTATATGATTTGAGTTTCTCATATTTTTCCTCCTAGCAGTATAAAACATGTCCATGTAGTTCTGTGTAAAACCGAAAAAATTGGTGACCTTTGACCTCTTCTTTGACCAAATATCATATTCTTAAGTTATATTTTCAAATTCAGGGCACATTCCTCTATCAAATGCCACTGAAGTTGAACTTGCACCTTCCATGTTGAATAAACCAATTTTGGTGGGTACTATGGGTGACTCCCCCTACCGCACCCACCACTGCACAACTTAAGAATTGGGTTTCTGGGATCTCCTAACCCAGCCATACACCACTAACATCCCAAACCTTCCGCACCTTCCATGTTGAACATGTTGAACCAAACCCACCTAGCTCCTGGACTATTAGGTTACCTATGTCAGATTAAAAGTAATTGGTGGACATCTTTTGACTGTTGCTTATTTGATCTGATTATGGCAAGATTTGTCATTCATTATTATGTTAAAGTTTGCAAGTTATTTGTCCCAATCGACCTGTGCTTATTTTGTGTTACAGATTGAAGATCTGAAGGATAGAGTGAAGGATAAAGAAGGAACAATTGAAAGAAAAAGTCGACAATCACAATCCTTTAATAAAGACAAGAGAAAATTAGAATCTGATATTTTAGAACTTAAAGATCAGATGGATGTAAAGGAAAGAAAAATAAATGTTTTAAATAGAAAGGTTTGTATTATTTGCTAGAAGATTCCAGTATATGATGATACTGTGTTTAAAAAGGAAGGTCATTCACATTTTAGTTGGTCCTTTTAACAAATTAGCCTCAGTTTAGTCATAGTCCCTGTAATTTTAAATGCCTATTGTAAGTACTGAGAAACAAGTTATTAGTAGAGTAAAAACATTTCAATAGATCAATAGTAAATATATTGGATTTGTTAGTTTGTGAGCAGTGATGGGATTCTGCCCGTATATGTCCGACACTATTTTCCAAACGTCCTAAATTGTCCGACCAGGAATATGCCCAATTGAACATCAAGACATGGTGAATAATATTCAAAATTCCAAAATTAATATATTGTACTGAGTGTATATCTACCACTCAACCCGATTATCGTTGATAATACTATAGAATGGATTGATTAGGTAATTAAGTGATCAACGTACTTATTGTGTTATACCGCCTATAACACCTACCTTGATTAACTACTTAATCTGCCTTGATTGGCTGACTTAATCCTTTATCGGACAATTTATCAATCCAATCCTGAGCAGAAATCAGTGCTTCTCCTTCGTCGGACTATGTACCAATCCAATAAGAGTGATTATAAACTTAATCCATGTGATTGACCCTTGATTTCTCCAGTGTTGGACGACAACACGTAGAAATTAGTCATATATGTCACATTTCCTAATAGTATATAACACCCTAAATCAATATACATTGTATCCGATAACTTGTCTGCGAGCGTTAAATGAAGCTATTTCAAACACACACATATCAGAAAAATACTAAACAATGCAAGCTCTGTTTCTGATCGCACGCGGTTATAGTACAAAAACTGAAACGGAAGTAGAAATCTCATGAGACAGGTGAAATCATGAAATGAATACGTGACAAATTTCACAATCTAATGTAGGAGAAAAGATTCTATTTTGATGGCATATTCTCAAATTTATGATCATATTTTGAATTGGGTTTATGTTTTTAAATAAAGAAATATATACGCTAGGCAATGTTGACGAATATGTTGATTGGTGTAAGTACTTAATTGTTTTAGATGATAGCGCGTGTTGGAGCTGAATGTGATTATTTAGCAGATGGTGTCACTTACTTGTCGTGGTAGAGCGACGTTTACTGCCAAATAAATTTTGGGATGTCATTTTTTACCTTCCGTATATAAGTTGAAACAGAGTATAAAACGAATGCAGGACTTCTGCTGAAAACTGTATTGACTTATGACCCGAAAAAAATACAGTAATTTTGGAGGAATTTGTAACAGGTATGGGTTGGCAGTAGTCAGCATGCTTTCATTCTATCATATTACGACATCACGTAATTTTGTAGGAATATTACTGACATAAATTTGAATACCATACAGGAATAAAATAAAAACATGAAAAATAACGAGGTGCACCTTTTTTTTATTACGTACGAATTTGAATATTTTGTTGACACTTGATTTTTGTGTGTGGTCTAAAAACTGCCTTCTTAAATAACGATAAGAGTTAATATCCCTTTATTTTCGATAAAAATGTCTGACAAAAAAAATTTGAAATCCCATCACTGTTTGTGAGTATTTAATTCGCCCTGTGATATTGCATTTCATTATGCATTTTATGTGTCCATAATTTTTATGTTTTTTCTTAAACCCTGTAGGTGGAGAATTTAGAATTGAGTAATAAAGAAAAGGATGAACAATTAGATTTAGCGAAGTCTCGTAACCTAGCCATATTTACTGATTCTAGTAATGATAGTACAATCTCAGGACTAGAAGAATCTCTAGCAGAAAAAGACAAACAAATTGAAAAGTAAGATTTTTGATCATGTTTTAATACACAAACCAGATAAAACTTGTACTCCATTTACTTCTGATTTCCATAAAGCATTCTAGGTCCGGTCACTATAAAAATTTGAATTATCTTATTCTTTGCTGTGTAGAAGTCTTCACAGAAAAATTAATTTTACGGTTAGGGTACCATGTGTTCTACTAAATGCATGTACCATGTGTACTACTAAATGCATGCGCATACATGTATCTTCTGAAATAACAGGGCCTGATTTTCCATTAAATTAACACTGCCAAAAATTTCAAATGCCTTTAATTTTCTTCCAAATTTTCTTTTTATCTACTTAGAATTGTCACTGACAAGAACAAATAATACAATCTTCTTTATTGCTCCTGAAAATTGTCATGTTTTAACTGTATGCCAATATTCTGTGAGGAATCTGGATAACCTGGACAAACCCTATGAATGTAAGCAGGAGACCCTACTCCTTGTCACATACAAACTGAGAGAGAGAAAGAGGGAGAAAGGACCCTACCCCGGGAATCGAAACCACGCCAGTTGACTCAGTGACAGACCTTATGATACAATGTGATCGCACAAACCATTCGACCATCCAATTCCCCTTACAAACTAAGAATCTGACTTCCATAGATAAGAATTTTTTACATTGTATATGATAGACCACTAAGCTTCATCTCATGCCACATTTAAGGAAGTACATGTAATACAAACTGCTGCCAATATATCCAATTGACTTTAAATTTATAGACAGTGTTTAAGGTCATCAGACGAAGAATCCTATTGATTTTCAACAAATTCTGATAATTACTGCCAGAGTTATGGCCCTTGAACACTTTGAAAATCTTGTGGTTGCTCTAGAGGCTAAAGTTGATATCCGATTGATTCTCCAATATTCTTAACTTTCTGTGATTGCACATTGATTATTGCTTTTTGAGACATCCATCTTCTGAGCTAAAATGACCTTCATTTCTCTAAATTGCAAAACGAATCATAAAGGCAACCCATGTTTTGGAAAAATCCAGACAGATATCGACTACCTATTGTTAATTGTTAACTTTTATCAAGTCCTGTCACACTCTTCTGCGATCAGCCGTTGACCGCTTTGAAATTTGAAATTTTTCACCAATGCACAGTGACGTCGCAGAAAATTGTGAAATCCATGATGCAAGGTAACTTAAGGTACATTCTGGACAAACTAATTATAATCTCAGTCAGGGTTCTTAATCCATTTTGAAACGAACTGGCCAGAATTGGGTCAAATGAGGTCCCGGTAGGAAATGGGTTTTAAAATTATAATATTCCATTTCCTTTAATATAACAAGACTTCAACAAAAATAATTTTTGGTAATTTGTTCACTCTCAATGTGCTCACACTGCTCTCTGTAGGCTCTGACTTCACTTTCAGTGAGTGCAAATCACTACAGCTCTCTGTTTGTTACTTGTTCATTGAATATTTACACCATATGATAGACCCTTCCGTGACCAAGGTCTCAAACTAAACTTCTCATTGTGTATACATGGTACTGTATTTATACCAAAATGTGTTTGTGGGCTTCATTTAAAGTGGGATTGTAATATGAACACACTATGAACATATTACTAATGTCAGAACAATGTTTTGGACATATAAGGAGTGTCACACTAGCCTCGGTAACAGCGCAGGTTGAATGAGCAGAAACAAGCCCTTAAAGTACATGTATATAACAAATGTCATTGTAACAGCCAATAAGAATGGATGAGTGTGACAAGGGTTTAATAACAAATGTCATTGTAACAGCCAATAAGAATGGATGAGTGTGACAAGGGTTTAATAATTAGTGGAAGCAACAACAATCAGCAAACCAGTTTTGATACCATTTCAACCTACTTTGGTTATCAAGAATTTCAACTTATCAAAGAAAGCGTGAATTTGATCAAATGGTCTATGAACATATGTTATTTAATAATGGTTACAGTGGTATCCTTGAGAGTATCAGAGATCTTTCTGAAATTCAACTTGGGTAACTTTTCTGAATGTACCTAGCACTAGTGCTGGGTATCGATAATCAGTATCGAAATGTTGATAGATAATTGATAGTATTGAAACAAACTTATTTTCACGGTCGTAATCAATACTGGATTACGTGTTTAAACTTAAAGGTCGAAACCATACGATGTCGCAATAGATGTTTTTTGTTTGTCTAATTAATAATAAACTTTCTCATATTACATATAAAATAATGTAGCCTTGGTCCAGAATGAAGAAATACTGTTGATATGTATGTGAAGGAACCAAAATAAAATCAAGATGAGTCAATTCAAAACATTGCGTACATGAGCGCGACAAATACCAATATGGCGGACAATTCGTGGTTGATTCACATGCCAATATTACATGTAATAAAGAGCTTGTTATCACTAATATGTAAATTGTTTATTATTATTGAAATAATGTTACCTTGATTCCGAATTAAAAAATACAAGCTTTTTGTCATCCATGAGAGCTATTTCATATGTATTTTGCAATAATGAGCAGACGAATCTTCGATTTGGTGAATTCCACGATATGGCGATTCATCAAAAATTGTTTCAAACTCAAAGTATTGTTTAAATGAGGGCGAATTTATGACAATTTATGTAAACATTTTTTTAAATGCTACATTGATACTTTGAAGTAATTAAGGTGTCCGATGTATTGTGTTATATATACGAAGGATTATCTCACAGAAAATATTGAGTCGACTCCTACGCCCAAAAAATAGATGAAGAGAACGATAATCGATAGCAACATACCACTAACGATAGTGTTATTCTGGCATGTATAATCAATACTATAAATTCATATCGATATTTTACCCAGCACTACCTGGATCATTGGGGGGGGGGGTGGATGGCTGAATGGTTAGCGTGCGCGCGCTGTATCATAAAGTCTGTCATTGAGTCGACTGGCGTGGTTTCGAATCCCCAGTTGAACGTGGCAAGGAGTAGGGTCGCCTGTCCAACCTCGTGGGTTTTCTCCGAGGCCTCAGGTTTCCTCCCACTGCTAAAGACCCCTACGCACAAGCGAATTATGTAAATAAAATTAAACCATATGTTAGTCCCGAAATACCTAGTTTGTGTCGAGTGGACGTTAAACCCCATTTCTCTCTCTCTCTCTTTTTATCATTGACTGATAGAAGTAATGAAAAAAGGGGCAATAGAAAGCATGCAATAGAAATTCCTACAGTGGAACACAATCTAAGTTAACTGCAGTTAATTAATAGTGTTGACATTATCTGTCAGCTATATACACCCTGTACACACTTCAGCTGTCAGTGTTCAATTACTCACTTTCTGGGTCACTTGATGTTCAGTCAGTCTGTTATAAGGAATCATATTACACAACAGCATTTCCTTACTTTTGGTTCCTGCTAAAAATTATCTGGTACAATTTGTGATACAAAATCATATATGCTGTTGAACATTGAGTGATTTTGAATTCAGGTGCCAGCTACGATATTAGTTAAATCTCTAAAAGGGATATCAGTCCAAAAATAGTTAAATTTGATTCCGTATTTACATTTACCCAGTGATTTAAACAACCTATAAGTGTACAATTCAATCTCGGAGAGTATCTACCTTTGATGTTTTCTTAATTAAATGTAAAATAATCAATTTGAGGACATTTTAGCATGGATTGAGCCATGCAAGATGGAGGGCTTGGCAAGGAAAAGTATCTAGTCTTTCATTTAAAACAAAATGCCGAAGTCCGATGTAAATCACTGACGGCATATTTGAGATCCCTTAATAACAGTTGAAAATCGAACTAAGACTAAGAGTATGCTGTAGTGCCACCCTCTGGTCAAAATTTACCTATTAGCTCTCTGTACAAATATATGGTGTATGCTGGTCTTCATTAGCCGGGTTGATTCAGAAAAGTAAGATGTTGCACCTTTTGGAATGCACTGACTATTTCTAATTTAGTAATATGTTCTAACTTGGTGTGGATGTTAAATAGGTGAATGTCTTGACTGAAATTGTTTTTGGCTTAGCCTAAGCACAGATAAGTAAATATGATTTGTTGGTGTTTAAAGACATGGTGACTGTGAACAAATTGACTGAAAGTGAGCTTTATTACATCAATACATTGACTAACATTATCTGCTCAAGTTATAGTAAAGGAATGTCATCTATTTATTTTGGAATTGAGGTGGAGGGACATCATCCTCACTGTTGGCTTGTTGTACTTGAAAACAAATCTATTTTTTGTGTGCCATCCAGTACTACTGTGAAAAGTTGAAAAACGATGTTATAATTTATTGTCTATTATTTATCAAATACTTTGAAAATATAAATGGGTCCAAATAGTAAACTGGCTAGATAAAAGAATAAATAAAGAAGAGTGTAAGATAGGTATTGAATTTGGAGGAAGAATATTAATGGTAGGGTGCGAGGGATATAGAGATGACATATTAGATAATATAACTTTGGCACTATTATTATTGTCTTATCTTTAATATGTTATTTCCTCCATATGTTTCCTATTGATAAGTGTCTAGACATTTCTACTACATGTATATTTTACTGTTAAATATACTGTTAAAATAATCCTTTACTGCTGGAATATTGTATATATCTATATAGTTTACACAGATAAGTGAAATAAGTTATAGGTACCATACTATCAAAATAATTGATTGTAGAAAGAATGACCAGATACCCTGCTTTGTACACAGCACATGCCACTATGTGGACTTAGCACTGCAAATACAATATGTTTGTTCGATGTATTTCCTTTCTTAATCAAGAAAATACATTCTTTATTGAATTTATAAACATATAATCTAGTCATGAATACTGCACTAACTTGATAATTAAAAAGGTTTGTAGTTTTAATTTGAGTGGACAGCAAGATTTTGAAATGTTTTTGACATGGTTATGTGTATTATAAGGTCTATGGTTTCAGAAATGGTTATGTTTTAAAAATAGTAATTGTATTTGGATTATAGTTTGGAATAATAATCAGTCTTGTTATGCTATTT